ACCACTACTTGAGTAGCATTTTTAGGCACATGTTAGTAATCATAATATAATCATCTATATAATCCTTTAGACTGCAGATGGGCCTAGATTGAAAATGAATATTAAGGAAAACATCAAACTGTTAATCAAAAGGACAGAAGTTCAAATATTATTTTTAAGCTACTCATAAATAGCATGAATGTTGCATTGACTGTGAAAAGATGAGGAATCCATATTTTCGTGAAGTGGTTGGGTTGAAATACAGGACTTTCATCACTCTCATAATTAATGTCAACAGAACAGAGTTTGCTGGCCTCTCTATATATGTAACTGATATGTAGCAACGTGGGTAAAATATGATCGATTGTTGTCCACTTAGCCTACTGACAATTAACTATGTGATTTCCTTTCCTCTCATTGATTTCTAGCCCGGAATCACTCTGACTGCTTGTAAATGTGTTGAATAAAGTATTGTCTAGTATTTGTCTGGTTCTCCGTTTAGGCTCAGGAATCCTGGATCCGATCGTATTATCAAAGCATATCAGAAAGAGAAAAATATTTTGAATCATCCGTTATGTCAATATAGAACCATAATTCTACACTTACTTCAATTGTATGATAAAAAACCCCTTGGTATCTCTATATGATACATATTTTATCCTGCAATCTACTTGTTATAAACGTAGGTATGCCGTCGCTAATTGTTATAAACGTAAAGGAGAGGATGCTGGTTATAACAGTAGGGGTTCTTGTTATAACAGTCCTTTTACTTCCTACACGTATGTGGGACGTTAATTTATCTTAGACGAATATCTACACTAGATTCCCACCCAGTGTCTATTCTACAGGACTTCAACAGAACTCAGATCAAGAACACGAGGTTAGCCTGACTATAACGTCAATATATTTCCACACCAAAATCCGAAACAAGGAACAGTCAATCAATAAGTGTCCATCAACAAGAAACAGTCAATACATAATAAGGATAGGGGAATATATATAACACATATAACACCTGTCATCCCCTCTAATGTCTGACTCATCGAGACAACCAATCATTATCATTCTCGCCCACACATCACTACTCTATTGAGTGGGTAAACCAGTACGTTTGAACATTTTGCTTTTTTTGTAAGTACTTCTATCGAATATTTGGTGGGCTTGTTGCTTGTTTTAATTTTACTTTATGACTGTAAACTCAGACTGCAAGAAACTTGATGGTCATTGGTCATAAACTGTGATAATAGAATATTGTTTTACATCAGTAACTAGTTAGTTGATCATCCTTGTCATCCAGAATTATCAAAATATTACTAAAGTATTTTCATATACATGTTTGGAAAATTTTTCCATCAAACGTTTATATCCTAGAATTGTATTTGAAAACTAACTGATGCTTCATGGTAATTTAACTTCATCTGATGATTCCTTATGAATGCATTAAAACGTTTTCTCAATTAGGAGCTGAAGTCTCGTAATAGAAATATAACAGTGAAATTTGTTATATCGCGAAGAGAATTATGAATGGTAACTTTTGAGAATTATTTATGGACCAATGTGATATGTATATTTCCTATTGTATAATTGTTAAGTAACTCAACCATTCATATTCATGTTTCTTTTATTATGAGCTTTATTTTGACCCATAGACTATTACTGTACGATTTACCATTCCTGAGTTATACCCAGTCTATTAATTGCTGTTCCCCCTATCCACAGCCACTTTTGGCTAAATCTTGTACAAATATTATTTTCTATTTTATGGTACGATGTGGTCAGTTTCATTGGTATATAAACCCAGTATGTTTGAGAATAATGATTCATATTGCAGAGGCTGTTATTGGTCTTTTGGACTTAACTGACTTGGCTAGGCAGATAAGAGGATTGATAAGTGCTCTAGACGGCTCATACGGCTTTTGTGTATCATTGGGCGATCAATAAATCACTGCTCTCCAATTGGCAGCATCGTCACGTCGTATAATAACTGGGAACTCAGGTCACACGATATAACAAAGTTGCTTGACAATTCGAATATGACATTAAGATTTTATTAAACATGATGTGATGTGAACCGTCTTTAATTTCACATGGATTATTATCTTCAAGAATAACTTGATTATACCAATAGTTCATAAGTACTCATTGAATGTTTAGGTAATAGGTTCTTATATGGTAATTGGTAAACAGGCTGATGTCATGTAGTGAAACTATTCCTATAACTCTAAACACCACTTCATTGGGAGGATAATAGTATGGATTGGTAGGTTGTTAATATTATTGTGACAGTTCATCTGCAGCTATATTTTCTATCAGCTAACAATTAATATCGTTCAATATTCAATCATCGAGAAGAGAGAACTTTACATTACGTCGAGGTTACCCTACACTTAATTATTAGAGGCTGAATTAATAAAAAAATGAACTATTCACTAAAATACAGGTCAAGCCTAACACCAATACGATGCTCATTCATTTTAGCTACGTACAAATATAGTGAATATTCAATATAACGTTTTTTTACAATTAAATTTTCATAGTTGAACTCATGAGTCGATCCGAGCTAGACCACCATTGAAAACCTAAAGACACGGGTATGAGACTCCTCAGCAATGATCACACTGGGACGAAACAGCCGTCCAGTGCTTCTAGGTTTTCAATGGTAGTTTAGCCTAGATCGACCCAAGAATTCAACTATTAGAATTACTACGATCTCCAAAAATCACCATTCTGATAATTAACTTTTTAATGAAAATATTCTAATTACTTGAATCATTTGAGCTTATATTATTCATATCTACTTCAAACTGAGTTCCTGTGTAAACAATATCACTTTAATAATAAGCAAAGTTCAAAATTTTATTACTAAACCATGGAGGTTCGTTTCTCTTTTATAACTGAATGAATTTCTAATATAAGCACAAGCTGATTAAACTGGAAAATACAGACGAATAAGGAATGATTTCACAACTACATTACACCTCAATGAGCAGCAGAAATACTGGGACACATAACGTGATATGTGACTTACAAGAAATCTTTTAAAAGATAAAGATTTGTAAAAATCCTAAAGTTCCAGTGGGATAGAGGTTGAAAAGATGTGGGTTGGTTGTTTAACAACATAATAGCATATTAAACGAGACTTTTCAAACCATATAGCAGCCTAAATCAAAACCTGAAATGTTGATAGTTAATTAAATCAATTCCAATAGGTTACACGGAATAAATATACTATGCATGTTAATTGGTATAGGTAGATATATAGAAGAGAATCTTTGTTAATGTCCATGACCAATTAACTCTAGAATGATAATGTACTAATTTTATTTAACTCATGACATACAAAATTAGTCTTACTTAAACGTTGTGGTGCGGTACGTCTTACATTTGGATGTGATGGTTTCGAATCCGCCAGATGTACCGTCAAAATATAGTCGATATTTATCCCTTTGAATGGAAAATTTGGCTACTTCCAACAAATGTCCCGAATGGCAGATACAATTGGACAAGTTATTATTTTTATTCACATGATATCCAACCATTAGTTTGGATAAAGATATAGCTTTCATCAACAAGATAGCACCTCCAGCTAGGGGTGATATGCTGTTGCATTATATTAGTCGGAAACCATCTGGACGAATCATACTCAATATTTTATGAAGCTAAATGTGTGATCATCTCGTTAGTGGTTTAATCCCACAAAACAAGACCAAGTTGAGAGCTACCGAAGATTCATAAGCCGGGATGAAACAGCCGTCTAGTATACGCTCAATTGTATCATTTTTATATCGACGTTTAAAAAGTTAAACCCGTCATTTCGTTCATACTTCATTGTAGAATTTAATGTTGGGATGGGGTTTGTCTAAGCTTCCTGAACAAATGTAAAGAGTGATTTACATCATATTAGGCAATGAACGTTTTATTGGTGAGTCTAAAGTAATATAATCCACTAACAATCAAATCCAACCGAGGTTACCTTAGATAACTGACAAAAATGAAGACTAAAGCAGGTCCGGGTGATGAGCTAATGGGCACTTATCAGTCTATTTTTGCAAATCCAGTTGTTAAATATGAATTCATTAGGAAGTACTGGTGTAGTAGATGTTGGATTGTGAGTACACCATGCATAAAGTAGCGTTGACCACTTGATGTGAGATGTTTATGTGTTCAGTAATCAGTTACATATTGAGTCATAGGCCTTAGCGACACAAAAGATATTCGTAGTAGGATAGGAATTACGACTAGCCAGAACATTTGACGTCCAAATGATTAAAACATTGATGATAAATATATTTTTGTTATATCTCATTGAGTGAAAAATTGTATCCCTGACTTTTCGTGATAATGTAAGCCAGTTCTTTGAAGTAAATAAAAAAATGGCTTACATTAAGTCATGAAAAGTCAGAATTACAATTTTTCTACTCTCTGACCAATACTCAATTTATTTGAAATTATCAAGTCCAACATTGGTATTGATACATATAAACCCATTAATAATTAAAACTCACATGGCATATAACGAATCTAGCAATAATTTTAAATTTACTTTTCAAGGTTTCTATGTAGATCTATAGATTAAAAGGTATTACTATTAAGTTTGTCCTTTCAACCAATACCTATTTGATCTACAACTGTGATCCATAATTATAAGCAACGTATACTATTAGAGATAAGACGGTCCTCACATAGTGGTTCATAGATAGTTTCAAACACAGAAAAACCGGATGATCTTATAAAATTACCATGTATAACGTGAAAGTATAATTCTAGTACTTTACCTTATTTCTGGTAAAAAACTGGGGTATGATTAGAAGGATTAGTACTGTTGTAATTTACCTTATTACGACCCAGCTATTCCTATTGCTTAGTATTCTGAGACACTAGTTCACTAGACAAGTCCCCAAACTAGAACACGGTTGAACAGGAAGAAATCATATTCCAAATAACAAGGGCAGATGGAAGTAAGAAGCACAATAAGAGATACGTTAGTATATTTATAGTTTTTACATAAGATTCTAGAATGTCCTCCAAGTATCGACTAGCGCTGGTTGGATAAGAATAAGCCGATCAGCGGGCGCCAACGCATTCATGCACGGAGCATGCTATAATACAATCTATGTCCCGCTAACAAGTTCGTTACTAGCTTTTCATGAGTTAAACTAACCCACCTAATTTGAGATGATACAGTTATGAACTCAACTGAGACTAACAAATTATATGAAGGCAAATGTATACGCTCTATTTTCTCAACTTTGAGCCTATCCCATCGATTTACATGGCGGAATTATGCTTAATGTTTGCAGGTAAATCGTAAAAAAAATAACATACAAACTCAGAAACTGTTCAATGTTGATAGCTAAAGACAGGTGCTGAAATCAATCAAAACTATGTGACAAAATGAGAATTTGGCAGAACTTCTATTGGACAGACAAGTGGTCTGTTTAATCAGTTGCAGTTAAGAAGTACGAAAATAATTCTAGTTTCATCTCAAATGTAATATTTTATACTTTGATAACTACTAGATGCTTACCATACAGTTTGCATATTACGGACACATATAAATCGTCACAATAAAAACGTGGTTTTCACAAACAAGTAAAAATAATAATATGATTTTCAATCCCAGTATAAACTACCGAACATTGCATACAAGTTCACTCGACAAGTTTGCAGACAAAAGGTTAGTTATCAGTTAATGTCATCACTGAAGCATGCAAGATGCAACAAACTATTACGAGAATTATCTGGATAACAAAGGAGTTTATCGAAGAATTTATATCCTAAAATTACGGATTACTTCAGTGATCTATTCATTAATTCACATCCGACAATCCAATCAAAAACTAGAAAAGCATGCTAAAATGTCTCAGATAGTTTATACATCGACAAAGAAATATTAACATGTAAGCCGAGTAAAGGTTATTTGAAAAGTCATGTTTTGATCAGGAATGTAATCAAAGACATTTATTATCCAGATATAACACAGAGGTGGTACTATAAAATAATCTGACAAATTACCATAACACTGAAGTAAAAAAAGAAGCAAAACTGAAGTTCTATGTACAACACGTGGTTTAAGGACACTTCGAAAGACTAAATCAAGGTAGTAGAAAAAGTAGTTATTTTTTAAACGAATTGAAAATAAATAAAAGAGGTTTGAAATAAACAAGACCGAACTGCCAATTACAAAATGCTAAGTTATCCGAAATGAAACTCGAAGTGAGCACCTTCAAATGGATGCATGTGGGAGAATGGAAAACCATTGAAAGGATGACCACCAAACGGGTTTTGAGCTTGCTGTTCAGGATCCAGCGGATCGATTCCATTTTCAAATTGTGTACGTTTCTCTGGATAAATTTAATAATAGTAAACAAAACGAAATAATTCATTCGCCTATATTAAAGAAAATTCAACGCTTAATATATAACAAAAGTATTCCCAATCACTATTTCAAAGAAGGAAATGTTTTGCGAACGATACGACATCCAAAGACAGTCTTGTTTAAGTTACTAACTCAATGATTTAAAACTAGCGTACATACACATAGTACGAAAGATTATGGGTCAGCAAAACCTGACGACAAAAGTAAAAATTGGCTACTCAGATAATTACCTTGTCAGTTTTTACGATATGAAATGCTTGACATTAAAAATTATTCAGGACAACAAATGATTTCAACCCAGAATACATTCATACAAAAGCATAATACTTCATCTTTCTACTCAAAAATAGGAATGAAAAATAATTCGAGTGTTAATTACCTTGAATAGTTATAGGTGCTGGAGAACATAATAGTTTGAAAAATACGTATGTTAATAATAATGATATGAAGAAATAACTTTCCTATCCAGACTTTAACACATGACACAGTCCTCTTTAATAAAATCTAAGCGCGCTAGAGATACTAAAATTCTTACCAACCGGAAACGAAGCTAGCTGCACTGAGATGCTGTTGTGAAGCTTGGACGATTAAAGAACTTTAGATTATGTCTAGAAATCTTTTTGATGAGTCATTTTTAAAACAACTACTGTACTTTAATTGTGCGAAGCTCTTAAGGACCGTAAATAGTAACTGATGTCTTCCCAATCAAGAATAATACACTATTTTTGAAAGGCAGAAGTTGTAAATTTCGGAACTTTATCTAGGTAAACTCACCGTCATCTGTAAGGACCTCCTTAGCTGCAGAAATTTCAACGAACTTTTTCTCAGCTTGCATTCTTTCTTCGCCCTGAAATTTGTCCGGATGATATTCAGCAGCCATTTTTCGATAGGCTTTCAAAATATCCTTTTTAGAAGCTGATTTGGGCACCCCAAGTATTTTATAGTAATCACGACGGTTGCTTGCTTTTAGAAGCTTTTGAGCCTTTTTCATGCCCTCTTTCGCTTTCTGATTATTTGACTCATGTCCCAATATTTTTTGGTATGTTGAAATGGCTAGATAGTGAAATAAAATGACATAAAAATTTCTTGTGAAAGATAAGTAGAGGGACGTATACACTATAATTATTGCTAAATAACTGAACAATTATTCTAGCATAAAATACGACGGAACGATAGTTCACCTATTGTTTTATTATAAACAAAGTAGGATTAGGTGCAGATATGCATTGGTTGCTACATTATATTTCAGCAAAGTTAAAGGAAATTATCTAAATGATTACAAAAAACACAAGTGTGTGTAGGAGAAGTAAATAAAAAACTAAATTTTAAGGTTGAAATAATTTGCTTATAACTCATACCACTGGGATCAATGAAAAGAGCTGTCACCAACCTAATTAATGTATAAATAAATTAATATATCTGTAATATCCCAATGAATGGAAAATCTATTTTTTTCTATTCATTGAGATATTACAAACATATTAACTTATTTATAACAGTCTACCCAATGCTCAATTTATCCAAAATTATCAAATCAAAACTTGGTAATGATACCTAATTAATGTATATTCGTAACTTGAGATGAAACAAAAATGTAATCTTAAACTGGTAAAATGTTTTGTGGATAAATACACAATGACACTGGAAAACTGGATTACATTTTCACTGTCCAATCAAGACCTATTTACGCAGTACAGATTTAAGAACTTGGCTTTGAGAGATGACTTCTGTGAAGGCCAATGACACTATTCGGTTGTCTCAACTGAATTATAGAGGAATGAGGTTTTAACCTGAGTATTGCATCTGAATAAGATGGTTAGTTATGCTAATGTTTTATCAAGTCAAGTATATTATCCATCTTTGAGAGGACTGCTAATAACAAAATGATACAGCATTCTTAAGATATCAGTTTATCAGTTGGAAACCGAACGCAAGGTATCACTTAGGTATTGGTCAAACATAACTGTCTAGAGGATTAGATGAAAATCGGATGGTGGTTTATCTGAATGAAGAATAGATGCTAGGAATTATTTATGGATCATTATTACATGTTTCTATTGGATTGCTATTAAGTAACTAAATTATACATATATTTATATTCCTTTTATCATAAGCTTTCATTTGACCTATTGGCTACTGTCATACGATTTACCACTCTTAATTTATTCCCAATCTATCAGTTAGTCTCACATCCATTTTTGGCTTGATTGTGCATGATTATTATTTTTCATTTTATAGTGTGATGCGGTTTGAGCTGCTTGTATATAAACTACTGTATATAACATACGATACACACAGCGGAGGCTGATATTTGTGTTCTGAATTGAACGAGCTGGGCTGGGAGAGAAGTTGCCACACAGAAGAACAATAAGGACTCGGAGTTTAATTAAGGCTGCTAGTGTTGTTTAACGTGTGATTGATATAGCACAGGGAAAAGGTCATAAGGATGGACATTTTGATTGGTGATTTCGTCACGTGATATTTGACAGGCCATAAGACATAACAGATGTAACTCATAGGAATATCAAAATGAATTAAAATTAATGACAATCCAGTGACATCTAGACCTTTTGCTTAAAGTTTTTACATTTGGATTCCTTCCACTTCTTCAAAGTGATATGGTAATCCTTATCTTAGCGAAATTATACAAAGCTCGGGCCTCAATAAGCTGAAACGGTTGATAAAAGCATGTATACTTAATGGGTACCTTTTCTAAAATGTTTTGTATGTGGCTGGAATCAATATTTCATAGACCAAACTAGTAATAGTCAATCAGTCATCTCCAACGTAGGACCAGGCACATATATGCATCGGTCCAAGTTGCCATGTCTCATTAACACAACAAGATGAACACCGAATTCATAGTAGTTAATTTGGTGGTGGTAATATATAAAAGTAAGATTGTATATAAGGATATAGTACAGAATGAAAGACATATATGAAGCGACTTTAATCTTATAGTTTAAGAGAAAACAGAGAGTGTACACACCTCTATGAAGTGAACTGTTAGCTTGTGAGATAACTAATAAACCTATCCACTAAATGAACCGAATAACGAGGGTTTAATACTCCTTAAATCAATAGCCAGAGTAGCTAAAACTGAAATGCCGCTCGGTAACCGAGTGTAAGTCAGGATGTTCGGCTTCGAGTAACACCTTTTTCTGAGTCAATGGTGCTAACCAAAATATAGCCAGACCAAAAAATATAAAGTGAGTTTTAAAGCCACAGCTTAGTAACTAAAAGTAGTGTTTTAGTAGATAAACCACTACTCCATAGATGAGTAACTGGAATTAAACGCAGTATGGCGTCATTATACGTTTCTTAGACTATGTATGACTAAGTTATAATTTTGGCTTTACCTTTAGACGATTTGAAATGATAATCACGTTCCGCCTGCCCATACCGTAGAGGAATACTTCTTCTTTAGGGGCCTGAAAAGGAGGATTGGTTTCGAGTGGTCCTAAAGATTTAAGTGTAACGACAGAGCCCAAGGGACAACTGCTCAGGCCCGGTCATACAAAATCTTCTACTGAATAATTTGAGAGGAGTTTGTCCATTAATTAAAAGACCTTATCGCCGGAGAAGGAAGTCTATAAGGTTGGGTGGAGTGTAGCACTTTCAAATCCAACTTTTTCTAACCCCTTCCTTCCCTTGTGAGAAGGCATCATCATTGAAGATAATGGTTGCCGACAGTAAACATTTTACTTCCGTCACTCTCCAGTACAGTCATTAGTATGACTTTACTCTCCGACCTCCACCTGTTGCTTTGTCCTACCACTCACCAATCAACATGCCTGGGATGATAGGACTTAAGGAAAATAGTGTTCCACAAGAAATAACTCAGTTGGGTATGCAAGCCCGACTGCCACGCTAAAGTAGCAGGTACGGTCAGGTTCAAGATTTTAAATCAATGGGTTATAGGGTACAATTCTATCTTGTTAACGACAATGCATCGGAGAGTTGGTTCAGAACATTACCAAATGTGAGTGGAACAACGGGTGTAACTTGAAATACATGAAACAAGTTGCTAGTGCAAAATCTTACCATCCTGAAAACGGTCAGCATTTATATAAGCTTCAGCTTGATAAAGTTGGAATTCAGTACTTTCAGGATAATGTTGAACAACAGATTCACAATACGGGACTCCATCAACACTTTTAGCCTAAGATAGTTAATCACAAACAAAAATACTGTGAAGGTAAAATACAATAATCTGTGATATAAATATACAAACTTAACTTTTTGTTTATCAGAACAAGCCATAAAAATAAACCGTATATATTGCGGGTCATACACTAGATTAAGTGTAACCTGACAAGCAAATAAATGGACAATCGCCGAAAATGTATATAGCGATGCACGTTAAAATGCAAATACTTATACTTGAGATTTTACGAGATAAATGGGATGACTAGATAAGGAAACATTAATTACATGAACGATTACCATATGCTCTTAGAAGTCCCGGTTTCCACGTATAGATAGTAGGGTTTACAACAAGCATTCTAGAGACAATTAAACTTCTATTCACGATAGATTTTCAAGTAGTTGTATTGTGAGTATAAATCGTATACTTGATGCCGGGATGTACGTCAGAAGTTTCAAAATACAAGGGGTTCAAGTTCAACCGCGGCTGTTAATCTAATGCGTTTGTCAGGGTCGCTTATTATGATGACCCGATTGAGTAACACTGATTGCAACACTTATTACTTAACGTCCGAATATGCTAGAAAAGTCATTTGAAGAAGGAATGTGGGGGCGGTGGGGTTTTTGCACGAATAACCAGCACATTCAGTGAAGTAGTCTTCCTGTATTAGGGGACAGGTTAGAAAAAATGGCCATGAAAATAACACTGGACAAGAATTATCAGTATCAACTGTAAATTTGAAGTGTGTAGTCAGAGCGACAAAAACAACTAATAGTGAGAAAGTAGTAGGTGACCGGCCTTAAGCAGATGTCTCTATAATCACACTCCGAGGTCATTGAGACCATCAACAGTAAGTTTGTCCTTTTCAATTTCTTAAGTGATATGTTCTCATAATGCGGGCGAACCGAGAGCGTCAAGTGCTTACCCACACCCAGCAGCGTTCGAGACCCCTAACAGCCCTTTTTTTGGCTTCATAAAGTCCATTGTTTCGATTTTCAATGGCTTCATTTTAAATACGTTTTTATCATGCTTCAAACTACACGTCAAAGCTCTTAATGTTCGGACCCAATGTCAAGTCAAACACTAGGCATAACAAAGACTCTAGAGCCCCTTTGTGCAGACCAACGCTGTCTCTGGAACTCACGTACAAAGCTCAGTTGATTTAACTGAGTTAACCTAAGCCATCGAGTAACCTCGGCTAAACATTATGGGTAACTAGCACAGTTCACTATTCATGTATCCGGAATTGTTAGCGACTTCTTGTGGTTTTACCATTGTAGAGATAGTGTTCATTTTAAAGTCCAAACAAGTACCTCTGAAATAGACCTTAGTCGACAGTTGCTTGTACGCACTTACATTGAACAGAACTGTAAGAAACCGAAAAACTAAAAACGGATCCAGGCCTGTTTTCAATTTCTACCTACACTTTAATTTATTGTAGCCCCAATAAAAACGATGTCCTCCCAAAAAGCCTTCAAATTTCCTTGAAAAACCAGAGTTCAAATGTAGTAATTGTAACAGGTGACTTTTGACATTCCAGTGAACAAATAACAACGATCTCTTACAGTAACTAAGTTTAGGAAATCGTTCAATACTAACCTAGTCATCAACTTTTCGTAATTAACGTACAATATAACATAAATATGCATTGAGACAAGTTGCTACACCACCTTAGCATAAAGATGGAATCAGTAAAGGCAGGGTGTATGGGAGCCTAGATAGTGGTACTATCAATCATAATAAGAAAGACTCAAGGACGAGAAAAAGGTTTAGAAGGAAAAATGAGCTAAGGAGAAAAATGACTGATTAATTTACTTGTGTACTAATTACAGATTTCATTTATTTAACCAGTGCTCGACATCCAGTCCCAGCATTGCTCACTTTGTCATTCTACAGTACATTAACAACGCTTAGAAAACACTATTAGATGTTGATAGCCAACGGAAGTTCTCTACTTCGAAAGACTTCACAGTTATGAAGTAAAACAGAAGATTTATAAACAGCATATTCGTCCGTTGGCTGGTAAATGGATCTCTGGGGTACGCCAGGTGGCAAACTAGTTAGTTACTAACAAACTATGGTTGGTAAAACTTCCCAAATGAGTGAATTGATCCACACGCTCGATCAACTCCCTCTATATGATTAGACTAGGTGTTGACACAGACCAGTACTGAAGCATCATTTTGAGGAAACAAAACTACATTATCTACCAATGAGTGTATCACCGAAATCAACTACTGAAAAGTTAGACAGAAAGTGTGAGTCCTAGGAACACATGCATTAATAAATTGTACAAAAGTGGGAAAAGCATTTATATTGTGCCAGTCCTAAACGCATGGAAAGACATTGTTGGCCGAAAAATAAAGATAGATAAACTACATCGTTAGAAATCAACAGAAAATCGGACCTCCTGAAACACACGTTTGGATTTAGACTACATATTCGTGATTTGTCCAGACACTAATCGATGCTCAAAAATGCCAACAGTGAAAGAAAGTTATTTGAACACTCGTTAGAGAATTAATCGACTATGAAAGTTTGTTTAGAGAAACACTGACATCTGCAGTAAAACAGAAGTGATATTAAAGAGTAATATGAAGCAAAACGTCATTATAAGATGCTCAGATACACCTCAGAGAACGTTTTGGAGGAAGAGCGGAAATAAAACAAATAGTACCGTGGGCATATTATGAATCTCTGAGTAGATGTTGTGGTCCGAGTACCACATATTCAACATTATTTATTTATTTAAACACATAAATATTGGTACAAGGAAGCACCAAATACATATGCGCCTCACAAATCTCATTCGATTTGTGTGAGGGCTGTGATACTGCCCAGGTGCCCAAACTGAAGCAGGACATATTCAACATACTGGATCAATATATATATATATATATATATATATATATATATATATATATATATATAATAGTCAACCTGTCGTGATGACCTTTCAGGATTAAATTTCAGTACGTTATGTGCTTTCCAACTGGATTTTAAAAGCTAGCATACAGACAAAAACCAAATAAAAATTGACAAATGATTTTTGAAACGACCTGGATAAGTGGTGCGCAAACAAATTCTAGAATGAAGTCGTTAGCTATAGACAACAAATAAGGGATTAACATAGCTAAACTGAGGAATGCGTGACAATTAAGCAAACACACCAGGAAAGACAGTTACTCGCCTATAGGTAATTGAAACGTGTTGAAGATTAGAAAGATTACCTGAAACTTCCCTAAAAGTGACATTAAATCTCTGACCTATGTTAAGGCACTGATTAAGATCCATCCTGAAATGTTTTATGTCGATGCGAGTAGCACGAACTAGACATTGTAACGCTGACGCCGATTGACATTAGTTCTTGTGGTAATTATAATTAATGTCCGACAGTTGAACTCCTTAACCGTCGCGCTACCATTTGGCAATATTTCAATAGAAAGAAAATACGTAGCGAGCTAGAAATCATATGGAAATGTATACACATAATGGTGAGCCATGCCTAGATTGTGAGTAGACTGAATTGGTATAAAGCGTTTTGTAAAATCGAACATTAAACATATTGGTAACAAGTTGTGCACGTTTTAAGATTATAAGACTTAGAGGTCGCATATGAATAACTCACTTTTGCATGACAGTGACAGAGGCTAATGTTTGCTTGATTAGCATATTCAGGATTTGAAGACTCGAGTTTGACTATCTCTGCTGCTTTCTTGATGCAATCAGAGTACCTTTCGGCTTCCAAAGCCTCTTGAGTGGCTGTTATAGCCTTGGCAACCTTATTTACTTTTTTGTAAAAGCTCAAACAGGCCTTATCATCTTGATCAAGCCTGAGACACTCTCGAAGCTCATTGGTAGCCTGCACTGCAAACCCAGCGTCATACATTATTTGGCTGATTCTCAGTAATCCTTCGCGGTTATCATTGGTCAGATGGACGCCAAATCTCATTTCTTGTAAACCCTGAGGACAATAATTAAGCACAAGAATTACCTTTTGCACGTCTCCTAAGCTTAAATAACACCTTGCTCTCAATTCACGTAGCTCCTCAGCATAATCGACAGATTCTACTAATTTGTCCAATAATGTAAGAGCTTCTCTGTATTCACTGTTCGCGAACAATTTACGAGCATCTTCCCACTGATTTTGCAGTTTGTGTATTTCAGATATTTTGGCGCTTACGCCAGTATCATGATTTAGCTACGCAATAAATTTTTGTAGTTGAAAACAGTACCACACTTTCATAATCTTCTATGGCTTCCGTCAGCTTCCCCATTCTTAGCTTCACATACGCCCGGTGTTTTCTTGCCTGCGAATTATTCAAGATAAGTTATGACTAACAGGAATGAAATCTGGATTTAGCTCCAAAGCTCTATTAAAATCCAAAAGGGACATCCTACAATTAGATAGTGCGATGTATGCTGTGCCTCTTTTATAGTGGGCCATATAACTATTAGGACTTTTTCCTAACAAATTACAACTACTTTTGACATACCGATAGCATCACTGTACAGTGATAGAGCTTCCTCAAATTTACCGGATGCTAAAAGTCTAGTCCCTTTCTCCAGTATATCTTCCACACTAGCATTAACTGAGAAGGTTGCTAAATGACCAAAGTTAGGAATAAACATTACAATACCGATAGCGTAAAAACATGTTAACGTAAAATAATAAGAGAAGGACGCCCAAAATTTTTGAAGCATCCCAAAAACGCGGTTAGTAATTTGTGTGGACTAGTCTGATTGGATGGATTTATAAAAAAAAGCAGAAGAAAACAATGACCAAAATTCAACATCGGAAATCTACAAACTTACGTAATATTATACTGAATGATCCTCAACTTTCCAACATGAAATATTTCCCTGCTAAAATTCAGCCTATAAAATGCTATCTTTTTAATTTGCTATACCTGTTTCATCATGGCTCATTCACTACCTGCAGCGGCCAAATATTGTCCTTCATAATTTTCTTACGGCTATGTCATTTTAAAAGAGTCATGAATAAAATTTCCCGAAATGGGAGGGCTAACAGATGAAAAGCCCTAAAGTATGGTAGGATTCTGTAAACCTTGGCAACTCCTAGATGTTTCGTAACGACTTATCTGACACAGTGGATGGTGGGGTTGCAGTTTACATATCTACGTACAGACTACCCTGGAAGTTCACGAAATTTTATCCTCGTGACAAATCACCTGGATGTAATGTGATACAATGAGAAGGGTATTCACGCCTCTTCTCTGAAAGGTCTACTTAAGAGATAATTTGGTATTTCAGCTTCTTCAGAAATTTCCATCTCTTTTGGTTACTAGAGGAGCCTTCAAAGTAAATTCCTACATTTATTACAGTTATATGGCTTCGAAGTTTACAATCCTTTTGCCCATGATCATAACTCGGAGCTGAATACTGATGTTTAAAATTTTATGAAAATTGAGTTTCCCTGGGAACTTGGCTGAAATTAACTGCTGACAGCCTGAACTGGAAGTCCTTTATGCTAAAACGCATTCTTGCCAACCAAGCAATCGACATCTCCAACCTGCTGGTCATATGTCGACTTCGAAAAAGCGATCATCTCTTATCGTTTGGTTTATCCACAAATTATTTGTCAGTCAAAAGTTCCACAGGCCCGATCTCGATGTTCCTTGAACTCACAAACACCCTTGCAGAGTAAACACGTCTCCACTCATGTAGATGAACGGTGGATCTTTTTAAGGACACTTTTAACCAGCTCGTCGTTCAAGGCACTTCCCTTTGATTGTCAGATTTTAAATCCCTTAGGTCTCACCGACAAAAGTCTAGTTACATATTTGTCAGAAATAAACATATATCTCAAGACAAATAAGTCGCTTCTGAATCCATCGAAGACTCCTGATGCTACTGTGGTGTGGGCTACTTATATCGACATAAGTAGTATATATCGTGAGTAACGAATAGAATATTTGACAGCAGAAGATTGAGAAAATCAAGAAGAGAAGAACAGAAATAGAAAGCAATTGATGTGGAAATCCAGAAACAATGAAGCCTGAGACAATTAAAGAACATTTTGCAAATAGAGTATCATAGCATGGCTTTTGTATTTTACCAAGTAACGTTGTAATTTGTGTTAAATACACAGTTGGTTGTCCTCACCTGTGTTCTCATTCACTACAAGTTACCATGCAGAATACGTATTCAGAAAATCAAGTAGGAGAAAATTGCATAACAATTAACCATACCGAAAGTATTTAGGATACCGAAAGTTTATTCCCAAAAGACAGTTAGTTCTAAGAGGCATGCTGGCTTAAACGCAAGATCAAATCGGTACAAATAATCTTGTAGGGCTTAAGGGAGAGCACGATTTAGTTCAAATGCCATGTTACAAAATATATACATTATTTATAAGAACAAGGCAAAGGATGTTGGTTGACAATCGAAGATGAACACAAGTACAAAAACATGATTGACGGTAGTTTAACCAGAATGTATAACTTAATGATTGGCTACTGAAAAATTTCCATAAGAATTTTTTCGTCATATGGTGGTTGCGTTCCGATGAACAGTAGTAGTTGAAAAAATTCATGTAAGTTACAAGTCTGTTTGCGGTGTCAAACAGTCTTATAAGTACACACCCACTGAAGATACCATTTTTATAATATCTTGTTGGTGGTCTGCAATTAATAATTACACTAGGGTTCACGCTGAAGGATCTATCGGAAGCATAAAATAAGAAGTTTGATGCTAGTGTGGACCTGTCCAGCATGCCTATCTGATCACATTGTAGCTGTAAATAATTCCCCAAAATCAATAGCTCATTAAGTGTTCGACATTGGATGCTGACCACGTTGTTTAAGTGGACTTGTTTAGCTGAAGGCTTTCGGTCATGCATCCGAACCAGATCACGTTTCAACACGGCGTGGGACACAGCTCCTACGTTTCATTAGCCAGCGTATAGAAAAGGTCCTCGATATATTGGTAACGAATCAAATATATCTTTCCTGCCTCTTCTCGTCTGACTTCTGATTTCTATCTGACTGGGAACGATCGAATATAGAAGGTGCTACTGGTAGCTAGTTGTAAAACTAGAACATCCGTTGCATCCTCAACATATTAAGGGAAGTGTCAGATGTTTCACCGATGTATTTTAGGAACTGCATCGTCATGATACTAATGAAGAATGGTGAACAGGGTAAACGACATGCAGGGGAAGAAAAAACTATGGATGGATGGCGAAGTCCAGCCATTTGTGACACAAGTATAAATTAAGATAACTTAGTATATTAAACTTCAACTAAACTGCTTTTAGTAAGTATATAGTTGCTCAAATGTCATTGGGTGAAATGTAGAACAGTTTACACAGGCACCCTATAAGACCTAATGAGGAATGAGGTACATATCATTAGACACATCTGGCTGAAGCTGCCTAAATTACATGGCTCTCGTAATAAGATTGCCAATCTACCACATTTGGGACATTTTCTGGCTATAAATCACACCTATTTTTTTCGAATTTTCGCCTTTTATGTTAACACTCACTGCTGTAAATACGCTTTCAATATGGTTCGTGCACAGGGATTTCAGTTGATACATACACAAGCACCATTGGCCAGCTGCCTACTCAATTCATTCATTACCCATTTTAGTGTCTGTCAACATTCATTTCTATCCTATTCTTCGTTGCAAAACATGATCTTTTCTTTGTAGTTATTCACTTCGAAAACAGATTATATTGTAGCGGTAAATAAATCCCCAACATCAATAGCTCTGTAAGTGTTCGATATTGTGTACTGACCACATTAGTTTTAATGAACTCACCTAACTGAAGGCTCTCGGTCATGCATCCGCCCCAGATCACGAGTAGGAACGCCATGTTCAACTTCGCCTGCGATCACTAGCCAGTTTATATAAGTCACTTCTCGATATATTTACAACCAATGAAATCTATCTTCGAACCTCCACACTTCTTATTTTCGATTTCACTGGGTGGGCGAGATTCAATCATAGGTGTTTCTGGTTAAAGTTTTGTCAAAATACAATACCTGTGGTATCTTCATTGGTGAGTCTAACGTGATCTGGTACTCCAACTCACAAACTGTAAGTCTCTTCCTTTTTGGAACTTCTAAATCATTGCTTTACTTTATTTTTTATAGATTGATATTTTTTCGTATATTTGAATATTTTTCCCTCGTTCATCCCCATACTTGAAATTCACCATGACAGAACAAACTCCTAAGCTGCTTAAGTTCAGGACTCTTACACCACCCCCGTTTCAGATAATGCTTTTTTGGCCGAACAATATCGAAACTTGGTTATGCTATATCTTCAATAATAACATAGCACGATCGACAACAAGTTTTACGATCGCGGTCGTACCCGATATTCTGACTTCAAAGTTATCTATCGTCCAAGTTTACTCTGGATTTCTTTCACATTTAAATCAAGTAGAAATGACTGGACGTCTATTTTCACTGTTGCTTGTAATGACAACTTGAAACGATTCGTAGCGTATCAGTTATATTGCCATATTACCTTTACTTAGTTCCCCCTCTTTATATTAAATGTTAACTATGCGTCGATTATTTCAAGGAAATTTTTACACGTCTCGACGTTTTGACTGTACTGGGGCACACTCAACGCAGTAGTACCGATGAAAAATTGTTGAATTTACTCCTCCTAACGACACAAATCTTACCATAACCAATCACACGAGTACTCACTAGAACGTCATTTATGAACTATTCTCTGACCTTCTCCTTCATCACATCTCTTAGATTCTTATCGTTTCATCCGATGCCCTCAACCTCTTGGAAAAATCGTTTATTTCAAAACACTTTTATTGTTGCTACATTCAACTTACTTACTTACTTACGCCTATTAACCCTCGTGAAGGAGCATAGGCCGCACACCAGCATTCTCTTTCCCACCATGTCCCGGGCAATATTTTCCAGTTATTATTCATCCTTTTCATATCTGCTTCTATTTCCCGGCGTAATGTGTTCTTTGACCTCCATCTTTCCACCTTCCTTCAAAATTCTAAGTTAGCGCTTGCCTAGTGATGCAGTTTGGTGATCTCATCGATGTATGTCCTATCCACTTCCAACGTCTTCTCCTAATTTCCCCTTCGGCTGGAAACTGTTTTGTTCTCTCTCACAGAATTCTGTGGCTTATGGTATCCGGCCATTGAATGTTGAGTATTTTGCGTAGACAATTGTTTATAAATACTTGTACCTTCTTGACAATGGATGTAGTAGTTATCTAGGTTTCAGCTCAATACAGCAGGATTGTCTTGACGTTCGTATTGAAAATCCTTACTTTGATATTGATTGACAGTTGTTCTCATAATCAATAAAGTTGATGTATAGTGACTAGTCCCACTCAACTCTGCAAGACCGGTCTTTACGGAATTCGCTCTGTTGATCTCGAAGTTGGGCGTTTACTGAATCTTTCATCCGGTGATTCTCACATCTGCTCAAATCTCCGTTGTTTGGTATCTTGATGAGGTATCCTTCTTGTTTGTGTCTTCTTCCATTGCCGCTGAAATATAACTCTCTGCGGTAGTAACGAGAATGAATGGGTCTCTCTCAGGTCAACATCTAAAAGAAGAGGTTTGTCATATCCAAAAAGTGAGCACACTTTTTTATGAGAAGGGAGAAGAGTAATGACTTGATGACACTTCCATATGTAGCCCAAATGACTATATTCATAGGTTTGGGGTAGCAAGATCCAAAGTGAACGATTTTGTTACGCTCCGTTAAGAAATGTTTGAAGCAGGATTA